GCAACGTATTTGCTCACCGTTTACTAACCTGTCCGTGTTTGATACTATAGGGATAATGGCTACAGTTCAACACGTTCGAACGAGACGCGCATATGGCATTCCCGGAGACGTTGCCACGGATTGTGTCCGTGCCTCGTGCTGCATGTGCTGCACCCTGATCCAAGACGAGCGAGAGATCAAACATCGGGAAGAAGCCGCGCGACTTGGAGGCGGCGTACCTGGCACAACGGTGACTGGTTATTCGGCCCCTGGACACATGATGTTTGATCCCCCGCCCAGGTGACAATTTGAACTTGCTTAAGCATGATGCCTAGCCTTAAAAAAGACAAAAGAAATCCCGTTCGGCCAGCGTGCGACACCAGAATTTCCAGGAACTTCACTGGGACATATGGGACGCTGAGTACTTTCCTTTTTTCGTTTATTTCTTGCCCAACATTATACCCAGCCAAGAAGGCTTTTTTACATCTAATTTTTGCGACGAACTGGTTTATTTACCTTTCGGATTTTATGATCTTTACTTGCTATGATAGGACATAACGGTGGACTTGTGTGTGATTTGTGGCAGTGTTGACGAATGTGGGATGCTGTGTGACGATGTATGATACTACCATGCTGTATATGTGTATATACCTAGAGCTATACTATATGTTGTTTGAGAGCTCTAGCCTGGTGTAGGCGCATGGCTCCCCAGTCTCATGTTCCTTTTCCCAAAAAGGCATGATATTTTACTCCGGGCCGTTCGCACGCCTCCAACCTTCGATTTCTCGCAAACGGGGCTATTTTTGCTCGATGTTGAGCATGGCTATTTCCATAGTGCCCATACGACCTCGTTTAATCCTGGAAGCTCGTGCTTCAATGCAGGCGGCTTGGGGCTGTCGAATGTAGCGGAGGTGCCACGGGACGGTTGCAAACGCCAGTCACCTGTCCTGAAAGCCTCACGCAGGGCTGCACCTCCGCCCATCGGCCTCCCACAACGCGTCCTCGCGTGTTTTCTCTTTCTCTCTCTCCCTCTTGCCGGCCGTCGAATTTGCTTCAGGCCCCGCCAAGATCACCCCCGCAAGCGCCTTGGCGTTAAAGCTTGTCGCGGCTTGTCTCTGGCTGACTCAGCAGGTTTCGGAAATGCGGTCATGTGATTGGCCTCGTGCGTGTCTTGGCGAGAACCCGCTGCTCCTATCTGCTTACCTAAGGTGCATCCTGCGCACACCAGCCAATCAGACGCGCCGCAGGCCCTCATCCTCCCGCCTCGCCCTCGACGACCGCTGATGCTCCGCCGCCCGCCGCCCAACGCTCGCAACCTGCGCAACAATTCGAGGCCTCGAGCATCGTCGGACTACTGGCTGGGTGCTGTACAGAATACCCACTGATCCGCTCGCAGTCGACCTCTCATTTTCTTCCCGTACATACTTCTGCCCTTTCCCTTTTTTTTTATGTTGTCACGGCCGTCCTGCTCGAGCGCTCCTGGACCCATCCTGCCCACTCCCCGGTGCCACTTCGTATCGTTCCGCTCACGCCGATCTCGATTCGCCCGTCCCTAAAAAGACTCAACCTCACCCCGTCGCCCTTTGTTTCTTCCTAGTTGGGAAGTTGTGTTGTCGCCCGAACTCAGGAGCCAAATCGCGTGGCAAAATCGGACCACCCACGTCGACAGGGGTTAGGATACTGCTGATTGATCGGTCACATTTGCTTCCTTGGGAAAATCTTGTTGGAATCCTGTTTGGGAGCTGCATACAAAATTTGCCCCGGGCCTGCCCTGATCCCCTTGTGGGAGTATGACCGCGTCGCAGGGTCTGGCATTTCGTCCTCTCTGACGTGGTGATGATCTGAGCAGCACTCTGGAGGCCCTCATGAACATTCGGACACCAGAGACTGGTCGCTATGGTTCTACCATGGATGGGTCACGATATCTACCGGCCTATGAACAAAGCGAAGCTTTGCAAACCGTTTGCCCTGGCGCAAGGAGGTATGGAGCTCCCAAGCCCTTGTCCTCGGACCGGCGACTCTTCTTTTTAGAACATGCTCACAGCCTTTTGCCTCTTAGGAATAATTGTATTGAATGAAACCTTTTCTTTTCGATTGAACCAAAATGCCGTGTTCAAACCCGCCTGTATCGAGGCCACCCGCCCTTATCCAATCAACCCCGAAAACATCCTTAAAAGTCGAGAACCTTTCTATGCCTCTACCTTCCCCCAAATGTATGCAATCGCTGCGGCAACCGTCATCAGCTACCTTCTCCTTATTATGCTCTTCATCACGCCCCGGACGTTCTTTATAGGCGGTCGTGGCGGCACTTTCCTGACGCGACATGGGATGATAGGCGGGTCATACGGCAGCTCTTCCGTTATAGGAGTGGGTGGCCGTCCATGGCTCCAGAAAGTTGCCGCTTTGACGGTTGCTATCTCCCTTAGCATTGCGACTGCAGAGTCCTTTGCTGTTGCCAAACGACAGTACGATTTTGGCTACATGGACTCGATGGCGTTAACGAATGAGGTCGTGGCCGGCGTGGAGATTCGCGTAATTCGCGTGATCTCAAGTACGTTCCTCTGGCTGGCGCAAGTACAAACATTAATTCGATTGTTTCCCCGGCATAAAGAAAAAGTCATAATTAAATGGGTCGGGTTTGCGATGATTGTCCTGGATACGATTTTCAGCATCCTCAACAACGCCATCCGTCGATCTTCAAACATGCTTATTGTCAAACCGCCGAGACACGTTGTCGACGTAATACCCGCGCTCAATTATCTGTTTGAATTGTCACTGAGTTTACTATACGCTGCATGGGTTATCTTTTATTCGATTTCGAAACACCGATTTGCTTTTTTTCACGTAAATATGCGTAATATCTGCCTGGTCGCGTTACTCTCCTTGGTTGCAGTCTTGATACCCGTGGTGTTTTTTATTGTAGACGTTTCGAAGCCAAATGTCGCGAGATGGGGAGAATATATTCGCTGGGTCGGTGCGGCAGCAGCAAGCGTGGTGGTTTGGGAATGGGTAGAGCGTATAGAAGCTCTGGAGAGAGAAGAGAGGAAGGATGGGATTCTGGGGAGAGAGATATTTGATGGCGACGAAATGATTGAGGCTGCCCCGTCCGACGGAGCCGATCCACCCCCTGACGGCGGCGGAGGCAAAGGCGATGGAAAGGGCCACGGCAGCAGTGCATGGGCAGGTCTTCTGGGTCTCCCGCATCGGTCCCTGAAAAGTCGAGTCAAAACCAAGCCTCGGCCGCATATGCGGAGGAGACGGCGCCGGCCAAAGCTGATCACGGATGCCAGTACGGAGTCGTCGCAGAACGAGCACCCAGCTGTTCCTCCGCTGGCTGTGACGCCAGTCAGCCGTACCGACACGGCGAGCACCGTCTACCGCGTCCGATACCACTCGATTGGAAGCCTATCGCCGTCGATATCGGAACTCGAGCAAAACCTGGACCCGGAAAAGAACGCTGCGATGGGCCAAGTCCGGGAAAACGACCAGACCAACGGCTCTGCTTTGGCAAACCTCGCCCCCCACCGTAGACTGGGAGCCAGCTGGCTCAACATGCTCAATCCTTTCAGTCGCCGTCGAGGCTCGCCTCCCCAAGAGGTTGCCAGCGCACAAGCAGAGGAAGGGAATATCCGCCACCCCACCATACCGCCGAAGCCCCCCGATGAATCACAGGCCCAGCCCGCCTTCAAAGCCCATCTCAACACGTTTCGTTCGCTGTTGGGTCGCAACCAGGAATACGCATCCGGGGAGCCTCAAAAGACGGCGTCTGTTCTGCCAGTGACAGTGATTCCTGCGCGACCACGCCTGGAACATGCTCGTCGCTCCAATACAGGCAGTCGTTCGGACTCGGTGTCGTCTCGAAGTGACAGTCGAGGAACGCCAGAGGCGTCTCTGCCCGTTGTCGTCATTCCCGCACGGCCACGGATAGCAAAAGAGTGGGATTCGTCTGCGTTTGAAGAATATGTCCGCAACGACTACTCTGGCGGCACGCTGGCCACTTCGCAGAGCGACGGCAGCGCGAGCAACTCAGTCAGCACTCGACCGTCGACCTCGCACCATCGACAGCAGGCCACCGCCAGGGCATCACCGCCTCAAGTACCGCTCCTGGACCCCGGGCCCATAGCGCCAGACGACGCGGGCCGTGCGACGGCGGCAGGTCGGCCACCAGACTCGCTTTTAACCACCACAGGAGGGGTCTCTACGCCGCAGAGGTCATCGGGCAGCGGGTCGTCGCATCCGGGGCCATGGCCGCCGTCGCCACGGCCCGTGTCTCCTCCGTGGGATGACCCTGGGGGCGGCCGGTGATCAGGAGTGATCAGGAGGGAGGAAGTGAAGGATTTCTGTAATGCAGGTCTGCGCCATTTAGCGAGGAGTTTGGTCTGGAGGAGGCAGGGCAAATCTAACGGCTTCCACGGTTCTGGGCGTGATGTTTGTTTTCTGATGATGCATATGGACATTGTTTTTCGAGCCTGCGGGCGTCGCAGGCGTCTTGTTAAGTACATATAAACCACTCCGTAGGCCCTCAAATTGAGCAGCAATGCCGTGCGACACGGCGGCTGCGTTGTCATTGGCAAAGCCAGCGTGAACAGGACGGGTGTATTGGGCGTGGTGCGACGGGCAGCGGCGGCGAGAGCTTTGTCGCGCAGGTGGCGGGCGGCGCGCGTGCCCATCTCTCGTCGTCTTCCTCACCTCCGCCGCGCAGGCCAACTCTCCGCCTGCAACGCCCACCCACCACCATGTTCTCCGCCGCCGGCATCCGCGCCGACTCGCCGCAGCGGACGCTGTCGCTGATGGCGCTGCCGCTCAATCTCATCGCTCTGATCCTGTCCTACGTGAGCTGCTGCTTCTTCCTCTTCCCCGGCCCGTCTCCCGCCCTTGGCTCACTAACCCGCTGTCTTCCAGCTCGACGATGTCGGCGATCTCTCGCGCCTGTGCCGCACCTGTCGCGTCCTCAACTACATGGCGCTGCCGCAGCTCTACAAGACCATCACGCTGACCTCCTACGACAAGATCCGCTACCGCGATGAGCTGCCCGAGGGCTGCGGCAGCGCCAGCCCGTTTTCCATGGGCCTCAACGCCATCGTCACCCGCAACGTGGCGCCGTTGGTGCGCTCTTTCACCATGCGCGGAGACTGGCGGGAGGACGGTCTGGACGAGCATGCTCGCGTCGGCCGGGTGCCCGACTCGTCGATGATGCTGAACATCGCCGTGCGCGCTGCTATCGATAGGATGACTGGCTTGGAGAGCTTTAGGTAACCGGCCTCTTGTCTTTGTCTGCGTCGAGCTACGTTTCAACTGACCCGCGCGCTGCATAACTAGCTGGGAGCTCACGTCCAAGATGATGGAGACGGCGTATATCGGCCTCTCGCAGCTCCCCAAGCTGACCTCGTTGACCGTGCGGTTTCCGTCCAGTCGCCACCCTCGTCCTACCACCGTGATCCCCGCCATGCCTCACCTGCGGTCCCTTAAGGTCACCGATATAGACCCGCTCTGCTATCCCGACGACATTTCGGCGCTCCTGTTGCACAGCAAAAAGCTGCGAGAACTCAAGATGCACTGGTCGCCGCGCATGAGAGAGGCCCAAGAGCCGAGCGTGACGCTGCACGACTACTTTCGCAAGTGCATCGCCGCAAAGTCGCCATTGCGGCTGAGGAAGATCGCGCTGCAGAACTTCTACGCCCTGCACACCGACGACTTCGAGGCGGCGATTGACCCGGTCGTGCTGGAGGAGATCACGACGCTGAATAGCCCTGGTGTTTACGACGCCTCCATGTCCGCAGTGACGTTTGTGGAGAACAGCTGGCCGCCGCCCGCCAAACAGTGCCTTGGGATCAAGAGCCTGCGGAACGATCGTATCGAGAGGAAAGGCTGCGACTTTCTAAACAGCCTAGAGAACCTCGAGCGGTTGTATTTCGTGACGCCCATTCGCGATGCATCGGATTCTATCAACAGCCCCCGAACTGCCACGTCAAATCAATCGTCGGCAGCTCTAACACCTTCAAATCTTGACGCACCGAACAGCAACCACCAAGCCCACCATCCTCTTCCTCCTGCGACTCTAGCCTCCCACAATTCTCTTCGCGACTCGTACATTCATACCATTTCCTCCACTCAAGGCGCACGGCTCCGTCACCTCCTACTTTCGTCCCGCTGGGCTCTCCCCAGCCAGCTGATAGCTCGACTCGTTCGCTCGTGTCCCAATCTCGAGCAGCTTGCATTGGCTACTGACCTCTCTAGCTTCGAAACCCTGGGTCTTTTGATCCCGTTTCTACAGAAATTGCTTGCAATCCGCCTGCTCATACCCACCGGTCCTGCCAGTGCACAATTCCCCCCTTCAAGACCAAAAGATGGCCCGGCCACCAGCCTCTTTCCCCCTACTATCCATACAAACCAACAAGACTCAGGTCCTCTGCACGCCAAGTCGCTGTCGGAGATCGTCGATATGGACGACGCCATCTTCAACGAGGCGATGGGCTCGCGGCTCGCCGACAAGGAAATCTTCGGAAAACTGAAAATCATCGGCCTGGGGTGGAAAGCGTGGGAGCTGGGCGAGTTCTACACGATCCCTGTGGCCGAGGGCTCGAATACGTACGACTGGGCCTTTTCGCGGAACGCCGCCCAAAATGGAAACGGTGTCCGTCTGCCTCGCACTGCCGCGTCGACGACGACGACGACGCCGGCGGGACAGCAACAGGCACAGGCACAGGCACAGCCCAGCCCCGCGGCAGAGCCGCGCAACCCTCCCCATTCCCGTCCGTCGCAGTCCCGAAGCCACTGGAAGACGCCGGCGACCGCGACGATTCTCGGAAAACGCAAGCAGCCGCCGGCGTCGTCCGCGGAGCAGTCGAGTACTCCGGCCGCCCGGGCCTCCCCGCCACAGCCTCCTCTGCCTCATTCCGCCGTCAACACGCCGCCGCCGGCGCTACCACCGCCTCCTCCTCCTCCGCCCAACACCGCGCATGTCAATGGGAATTCTTCGCTTCCACCAGACGCAGCGTCTCTGCTGGAAGACCTGGGATGTGCGATGCCGGCGGACACCAGGACGAAAATCGCGCATGGCATCAGCGAACCGACGTCGTCCTCCTCCTCTAGTGGAGAACAACCGGTGCTCTGGCGACGAAGGGTCCATCGGGTCGGGTGGGACGTTCTGCAGCACTGGGAGATCTGGGGGCTGGATGTGCAGGAAATTTGAGGTTATCATCTGGTATAGTTAGTTAAGTTTTTTTCGCGATATGGTGCTGAGTTTTGAAGAGGGATATTTTTTTTTTTTTTTTGCCGCTGATTTTTTGCTGGGTTTGTTTCTGGATGATTGGAATACCCCTTTTTTTCCTCCTTGACTGTATGGGTGGTGAGTGAGTGAGTGCATGGGGAGATGGGGGGTGCGGGCCGGCTGTCTTGCAAGATGTGTGTACCATACTATTGCATTTGTCATCCTATGATCTGAATCGATGGCATCTATCTCGCATTTGCTCCGTGTAACACAGCGGTGTTGGGTAGGTAGTAATTTGTGTTTGTGTGATGCGGCTAGATCGAGGCGTAATGATATTTCTGCTTGGATGAATAGTTCAATAAGAAAAATTAGAAAGAACAGGCACCGCATACTCCGCAAAAGCCGCTCAAAAGCATCCATCTCTCATAAAAAAAAAAGAATAGTCCAGCTGTTGCACATAAACCGTACATACAAACCATACATACAACGACAGATAAAAATAAACATCTGCATATGGTGTTATATAATATCAATCAACTGGTCCACAGCAAGGAAAAAAAAAGAAAAGAAAAGAAAAGAAAAAGAAGACATACAAACCGTCTCAAGAAGAGCAACACTTATACTCCGACATATTTCCCCTCCCACACCCCCAATTTTTGTTCGCAGCCGTCTGTCCCCTGCTTCGTCTGTCATGCATGTGCCCAGTCTCTCTCTCTCTCTCTCTCTCTCTCTCTCTCTCTCTCTCTTCTGGACTATCAATCAAGACACATATCTACATCCAGGTTCTGTGTGTGCATGCATGTGTACCGTAGAATCCACATGAATAAAAAGCTAGGAAGCGTTTCATAAAGAAAAGAATAGATAAACAACCATCACAGGAACTGCGACGACAGCCCAGCGCCATTAGTCCCACCATTGTCCCCGCTGGCACCGCCCGCCGTCACGGCCGTCGAGCCGCCCGACGCGCTGGTACCGCCACCACCACCACCACCGCCGCTGGTGGCACCCGTGCCCGCGCCGGCGTCCGTGTACTGGTCCTTGAGCAGAACCTCGAGCATATCGAACTCGCCGACCATGGGGCCGGTGCCGCCGAGGCCCTGGTCGACGCCGGCCGTGGCGCTGTTGAAGAACTGGTCGAGCGGCAGCGCGAACCAGTCGGACATGGAGGTGGAGGCGGCGTGGCCGGCGGTGGCGCTGAGGGCGTGCGGCGCCACGGTGGTGGTGGATGACGATGATGCCGCCGCGTCGTCTAGCGACTGCTGCTCTAGCTTGGGCGACGTGCTGCTGTGGTCGTAGTAGTTGTAGAAGACCGACGGCGGCGGCGGCATGAAGGATACGTGGAGGTTGGTGGAGTCGATGGGCCGCGCGGGGATGCTGGCCAGCGGGTCGTTGGTAGTCGATGGCGCGCTGTTGGCGTCGAACGGGAAGCCGGCGGCGGCGGTGGTCGAGTTGTTCGGCGCGAGGGCATGCAGCGGTGGCGGAGGCGGCGGCGGCGGTGGCCAGCGGAAGTCCGGGTGGGCGTCGTCGGAGGAGGGCAGGGGCGGCGGGGTGCGCTCGCGGCTGGCGCAGTCGAGGCGGTCGAAGGGCGCGAAGCGCAGGAAGCGCGTGCGGATGTTGGCGGTGAGCAGCTGCAGCAGGTCGGCGATGGTGACGCTGAGGTGCACGTCGTCGACGATGCAGGTGCGCAGCGACTCGATGGTGCGGTCCTGCAGCTCGAGCGACACGCGCACGTCGTCTTCCTTCGCGCCGAGCGTGAAGGTCTGGGGGGTTAGCATGTCATTCAAATCGAGTCAGAGAGAGAGAGAGAGAGAGAGAGAGAGAGAGAGACCAACCTTGAGGATGAAGATCATGCCCGAGAGCACGCGGAAGAACGTGCGCACGGGGGCATGCTTCAGGCGGTCGCCGGGGACGAGGCCGTCGAGGACGGTCTGCAGGATCTTGCGCGACGCGTCGACGACCTCCTGGATGTACGGCTCGTTGACCTCGTACTGGTCCAGCAGCACGCGCAGCGGCACGGTGCCGGACGACGTCGAGCCGGCGCCGTTGGCGTGGTTCTGCGTGCTCTCGTGCGACATGGTGGTCCAGCGGTCGACGACGGCCTGCAGCGCCAGGCAGTTGACGTAGAGCCCTGCGACGTTAGGCCAACGGAAGCAGGTCGGTGAAAGGGGGCACTCACGGGTATACTCGTACTCGATGGTCAGGATGTGGCGCATGTGCGGCGACACTTGAAACAGAGTTGAGTTTTAGCCACGGCATGCCGAAAGTCTATCGCGACGACAGGGTAAACTTACTCGGGATGCGGTCGAACTTGCGCCTGAAGTCGGCCAGCGAGGGCGCGAACTCGGCGATGCGGTCGCGGTACTGGCCGGTCTTGATCAGGTTGGTGGTGTACTCCTTGGACGGGAACAGCACCTGGTTGCTGTTGTACATGATCTTGGAGATGTCCAGCCAGCAGTCCAGCACGCGGTCGACGGTGAGGTCGAGGTCGTGGCCGTGGTCGTGGTCGGCGGGTGCGGCCTGGCTCCACTGCGGCAGCGGCAGCATGGACGGGATGCCCAGGCGGCCGCTGCTCTGCGACACGTACACGAGGATGAGGCGGCGCAGGCGGCGCTTGCGGACGGGCTCGCACGACGGCAGCTGGTCGGCGGGCGGGCGGGCGTCGGTCTTGGGGTCGAAGACGCCGAGCTCGAAGGCGAGGGCCTGGGCGGTGCTGAGCAGCATCCACGACATGCGGTCGGAGCGCCACACGGGCTCGAGCCACTGGTAGAAGGCCAGGCGGCCCTCGGGGGGGCCGTTCTGGTTCTGGTCCTGGTCCTGGTCCTGGTCCTTGTGGTGGGCAGTGTCGGGGGCCAGGGCGTGCGGGTCCATGTCGAGCAGGGTGTTCTCGTCGTCGCCGGGCGGGAAGTGCAGGGCGCGCGGGTGCCAGTCGGTGAGCAGCAGCAGGGCCTCGACGGTGCCGAGGGCGCGCAGGTTGCCGCTGCGCTTGGACGGGGGCGTAGTAGCAGCAGCAGTAGCAGCAGCAGCAGCAGCGGCGGGCGGGAACGGGCGTGGCTGGGCGGCCGGGGCGCCGAACTTCTCCTGGCCCCAGATCAGGCGCTCGATCATGCCCTTGAGGTAGGACCACAGCTTCTCGTGGATGGAGTAGGCGCGCGAGGTGGCGCCGTTGCCGGCCAGCTTCATGTGGCGCGAGGCGATGGTCAGCATGGTAACGGTGAGGACGGGCTCCTCGGCCAGCAGCGACGGGTGGGCGGCGGGACGGCGGAAGTCGGGCAGGACGATGGGCGTGAGGGGGGCGAGGTGGTCGTAGTAGCTGGGAGAGTACTCGGTAGGTTAGACACTTAGTTAATTAGCCAGAGAAGGAGAAGACGCACTACGCGATGTAGGCCATGGCCTCGTCGACACCAAACCAGCCGGCGCGCACGAAGCGCAGACGCGACCAGGCGCGGCGGGCGGTGGCATAGCCGGGGTCGTCGGCGTGCGGGGGGCTGGCGGGCAGGGCGAGGGCGTGGGCGTGGGCGTCCGGGGCGTGGGTGTCGGGGGCGGCGGCGGCGGCAGCGGCGGCGGGGGGTGCCGGGGCGGGCACGTCGGGGAACCAGCCCATGGCGGCGGTGGCGGCGGAGTTGGCGCGG